GAAATTTTGTCGACTTGAACCAGTATCTCCCACTGTTTTTTGTTTGTTTTTTGGAGACAGAGTCTTGTTCTGTTACCCAGGCTAGAGTGCATTGACACAATCTTGGTTCATTGCAACCTCTGCCTCCTGGGTTCAAGTGACTCTCCTGCCTCAGCCTCCCGAATAGCTGAGATTACAGGTGCGTGCCACCATGCCCAGGTAATTTTTGTATTTTTTAGTAGAAACGTGATTTCACCATGTTGGTCAGGCTGGTCTTGATCTCCCGACCTTGGGCTATCCACCCGCCGAAGCCTCCCTAAGTGCTGGGATTACAGACGCCCTGCCCTCTCCCACTGTTTTGTTAAAATGTTTTAACAAAAGGTAATTGCAACTACAGGCTAATTCTTTGCTGTTGTTACTGAGACAGGGCCAGTCTCGCTCTGTGGCTCAGGCTGGAGTGCAGTGGCACGATCTTGGCTCACTTCAAGAGATTCTCGTGCCTCAGGCTCCAGAGTAGCTGGGATTATAGGCACGGGCCACTATGCCCAGCTAATTTTGTAGTTTTAGTAGAGGTGGGGTTTCGTCACGTTGGCCAGGCTGATCTCAAACTTCTGACCTCAAATGATCCACCTGCCTTGATCTTCCAAAGTGCTGGGATTACTACAGGCATGAGCCACTGCTCCCAACCAGGCTAATACTTAAAAATAATACTTTAAGGCTGGGCGTGGTGGCTCACACCTGTAATCCAAGCACTTTGGAGGCCAGGGCGGACGGATCACCTGAGGTCGGGAGTTCAAGACCAGCCTGACCAACATGATGAAACCCCGTCTTTAAAAAAAACAAAAACAAAAAAATACTTTAGGTGTATTTCCCTCCCCCAAATTATATGATTGCACAATAGTACATCATTTCATGTTTGATTTTCTAGAGTGTAATCAATTACAGGATCATTTTAGGAAAAGTTAGTCAAGTACTTCCTTAATTTCCCACTTAAATCCTTTAGTCTTTGATATTCACATTATGCCCCTAGGCAGCACCTAACTGGTTAGACATGTCCGCTTCTCCTTCATCTGTTAGCGGACCTACTCTCTGAGATCCTTATTTGCCAATGGTTACGCTCATCTGAGCAGTTTCCCAACACATTCCCCAACTGTGAAAGTCTGCATATTTCACAAAACTTAAATTGTACTTTGGTACCTGTTTTGTATTTTCAACATCTCACAACCCATAGCAGAGAGGAAAGTTGGGCTGCAGTGGATGGCATGTGTGTTAAGGAGGGAGAGATGCTTAAGTGGAGAGTGATTTTCTGTGGTTGTGTAGAGAATGCTTTTCATGTTTGATGACTTTAGCTCTCTCCACAACTAGTGGCTATAGGAACTTGGATACTGACTAGTTAGAGATACAGCTCAGAGGAATAAGGGTACATACATGCACGTCTGAGCAGGGAGCCTGCCCCTTGGGGGATAGCAGTGACTTCAACAGATGGTGTTATGAGGTCAGGGTGACCCAAGGCAAGAGGGTGGGTTTCGGGATCTGAGCCAGGGTGCATGGGTTAGCGAACAGGAAAGGCAGGAAATATCTGTTAAAAGCTTAGGCCAAAAAAGTCTATGTCAGGTCAAACACTGGTCTTAATTCTATAGGAATGTGAAGTTTCTGGACAGAGAATGGAACAAGATGATAACAGTTAATATTTGTTATGGGCTAGGGACTGTTCAAGTACTTTCCATGAATAACACATTATATTAACCTGGGGAGGTAATATGGTAGCCTCACTTGAAACGAAGATGACTGAGCCAGCAGAGCTGTTAACCCCTGGCCCAAGGTCACACAGTAAGTAAGCAGCTGAGCCATGGTTTGAATCTGGGCCCTCTGCCTCCTGAGATCACTCTCAACTGCTGCACTACCCAGTCTCTCCTGGAGCCAGGCTGACTGGCAGTGGGTGCCGGGAGGTAAGGCAAGGTGAGGTGGAAAGAGCAGTAAGAGGCCACTTCGTGATAAAAGGCCTAAACCAGGGCAGAGAAGAGTTCAAGAGCAATTCTAAAGAACACTGAATGTTAAAATGCTAGTGCTGTTTCATTGGGTTTACACAGGACTGTTTCCAAAACTCAGTAAATCATGCATGAAGCTATCACCATTGCAAGAAGGAATCAGTTGCTCACTAAAATTCAGTTTTGGCTGGTGCGGTGGCTCATGCCTATAATCCTAGCACTTTGGGAGGCTGAGGTGGGTGGATCACCAGGGGTCAGGAGTTTGAGACTAGCCTGACCAACATGGTGAAACCCCATCTCTATTAAAAATATAAAAATTAGGCTGGTGTGGTAGCAGGCGCCTGTAATCCCAGCTACTTGGGAGGATGAAGGAGGAGAACTGCTTGAACCTGGGAGGTGGAGGCTGCAGTGAGCAGAGATCGAGCCATTGCACTCCAGCCTGGGCAACAAGTGCAAAACTCCCATCTCAAAAATAAATAACATAAAATGGACTGTTTCTCAGGAGGAGCTCCCACAACTAAACAGTTTCCCTTCTAATGCAGGGACAAACTGGCATTTAAATTTGCAACAGATACCAGTTCCCTCGGGGGTCAATGATCCTGTGAGTGATTACATTATAGAAAATCAAACATGAAATGATGAAGCTAGAGCTCAGTGTCTGTCTAGGCAAGTGCCTGCGTGTGCACAGCCCTGACCCCGTGTTGTGAGACCTGTGTTCTAACCCTCAATCACTTATGGGGTGGGGGGTTGACCACTCTACTCTGCTTTCATTTCTCACCTATGGGGATGTTTGTCTGATTTGCCCATGGGACTGTTGAGGATCCAGTGAGGAAATAGATTATGTTTTACAAAGTCTGGCTGATCTACAGCAGGAAGAATGGCGTCCTGCCAAAGCTTACCCTTGAACATCTGTGACTGATTTCCAGCACCTTACCTGCATTCCAGTGTCGTCTCTATGGGAGGTGGCGGGACTCCTGCTTGTTTGCCGTGCAGTCTGCCAGCTCCAAGGCAACTGCATCCCTCCTCTTATTCATTATCTGCCAAACCCAAGAGAAGAGGGAAATAGGTCTCTCAGGGTGTGGGAAGGACTTTTGGCCACCTCCAGCCAGGACAGTCCCCAACAAGAAACACTGAGGTTGGGGTGTTGCCAGAACAGGTTTTCTGGAAAGGAATAGAAAGCTCTGCCCAGGCTACTGAAGTCTCCAAGAGATGGGCTCCAGGGGTGGCCTCGCTTCCCGCACAGGCGAGGTCCAGGCAAGTGGTCAGCAGCGCAGTCCCCTTCCTTCAGGGCTCCAGCCACCTTACCTCCATGTGGGCCAGTGTCTGGATGTGCAGCCAGTGATCCCTGAGCTTCCCAAATACAAACCTCTTGGTGGGTGCCCATCCCGGGAAAGGAGCGGCACCAGAGGTTGACTCCCTGGTCAATTTCTAGTGTTTCCTCTGAGCCCCAAGGGCAGTATTCTGCAATAAGCTGCCTTGTGTGGCCTCTCTTGCACACAACTGGTCTGTACCCCACAGGGAATTGGGGTCAGGCAGCAGGAACAGAGGGTAGAGGCATCATGCCCATGCCTACTAAACCCGATTATGACCTTGTGGGGAGTGTTCCTGTCCAGTCTCAGAGTAGAAGCACACATCCAAGGATCCCTCCAAAACCCTTTCCTCTGTACCCTCAACCTTGCTCTGTACTTCAGTAGCCCTGTTTGACCCATGGGTCCCTCCCACCTGCTCTCCCCCCATGCCCAGAGCTGCTTCTGTTGCTTCCCCTCCCCTCCCTTCCCTTCCAGCCCAGACTCCCATTCCCCTGCAAGCCATCCAGAAGAACAGTCTCACACTAAGACATGGAAAATGCACAAGCCAGAAACATCACAACTGTCCATCTACAGGACAAGGAATAAGTAACTTGTGAAATAGTTATCCACAAAACATAGCAATGAATCAATAAAGTAGTTACATATAACCACATGGATAACTCTCACAAAATATTGAGTGGAAAAAATAAAATACATGCTATATGATTCCATTTTTGAGAAGTTCAAAACAAAACTATTCTTTGGGTATACGAGGACATGGTAACTAAAAGCTGAGGCCTAGTGGCCTCTAGGAGGATGTAGACAGCAGGTTACGGAGGATCTGGAGTGCTAGTGATGCTCCAAGGCTTGATCGGAGTAGTGGGTTTACAATTCAGCAACCCCTACAGATATGTCTGATATACTTTCCTACATGTATGTTATTTCATGGGAAAATAAAAAACCTAGCACCCCTCCCCCAACTCTGACTTGACTGGCTCAGGGCACTAGCCCCCTAGTGTGCACACCCCTTACCCTGTTGATCTCAGTAGGGAGCATTAGATGAGGCACTTCCAAGACCTGAGAACAAAGGGGTGGCCCACAGGGGTCCCACCTTTATTGCTTCCTCTGGAGTGTCTTCCTGCCCCAGTCTGTCACATCCCTGTCCAGCCCCACTGCATTCTCTGGGGAGTTTGGCTGTGTTGACCTACAGCACCCAGTTTCCTGGCTTCCTTGGGCAGCCTTACCTGACATAGGTCTGTTTCTTACAGAGGGATCTGCTCTGATGCACCATCCCAGTGCCCCAGGTTTAATTTAATATCTTCTAGGATAGTCTTGGTCTTTGTCATTTGTTTCTGTCATGTGGTCACCTGCTCACTTACTTATAGTTAGGGGGAAAGCTTACAGGGAGTCCACGCCTGAGAACATTTGATTCTATATGAGAATGCCTGTCACATAGTAAGGTGAATTCCTACTCCATGTCAGACGCACATTGGCCACAGAAAGCCAGGATCCTTGTCCTCCTGGAGAGGACTGCTGAGAGAAGACACGGAAGTGCGGCGAGGCCTGCAGAGCAGGCTGGTGGGAACCTGCACTAAGCAAGTCAGGAAAGGGAAGGAATGTTTCACTGAAGGCCTGAGGGATGGAGAGGGAACAAGAAGGAAGATGTTCAGCCACTTCTTTATTTCCTTTAGCCCTGACAACCATGCTATATGAATAATAATAGGTAATACCATGAATAATGATAGGTATTATTATTCCCAATTTACAGATGGGGAAACTGAGGCACAGAGGGGTGAAGAACCCAGCCCAAGGTCACTCAGCTAACATGTGGCAGAATGAGGACTTAAACTCCAGTCTAGATGATTCAGAAGCTGTAAGTGAGGAGGCTGCTGCCACAGACATGGACAGGAATGATAGTGGTTTCACTGGTTATGAAGCAAGTAGATGGGTAGGCTCAAGAGAGGAACTAATGATAGAATTGATGTTCTGTGGACTTAGGGAGGGATCAGTCAGAGATGACTCCCAGCTTCAGCCTTGATCAACTAGGTGGACAGTGATTTACATTCACCAAAGTGAAGAAACGGGAAGAGCAGATTTGGAGGGAAAAAAAATCATTCATCTAAATTTGATACATTTTACTTCAGTAAAAAAAGAGAGAGAGAGACATGGGTTGATTAAATGAAAACAAAACAAGATGATTCCATGCCTAGAACTCCCTCGCTCTGCCACCCCTCCTTCAACTCCAGCATTCTCTCACATCCTTTGTCCCTGCTTCCTTCCCGCGTCCTCATGTACATTGGTACTTTCTGATCCTTGGGTCCTCCAATACCCAATGCCAAGCAGATTGCGTTCAAGAGAAATGCCCAGAGGACACTGTCCTTGGCCACACCACCCATCGCCTCACCCGTGCTTTCTCCTGACCTTCTCAGGGTGGAGTTCCCTTCATCTTTCTATTCCTGAGACCATTCTCTGCATGCAGAGCAGGCTTGATAGGTGTGTGGCCTCTGCAGTTACACAGGGCCCCACACTCAGAAGGGCCCACTTTCAGTTTAATGTTCCTCTGTTGCAGGCTTGAAACTCCTAACATATTAAAGGGCCCCACACTTTCATTTTGCAGTAGGTCCTGCAAATTATATAGCCAGTCCTGTATGTATGTCTACATCGTAATGGTGCAAACCAATGTGTGCAGCCTTTCCCATCTGCGGCAATGAACCTCATTTCCATCTAGGAAGTCCAACTGCTTCAAATCACAGGGAGACAAAGCGAAAAAAGAGCTCAGTTCCTTTGTTTCTATGAAATACAGTTTTATGTGTAGTTTTATGTTTCTTCCTGGATAATAGGAGAGAACCCTGAGGAATAGGATACAGAAATAACAAATTATAGGCCATTAACTGTGGCTGATTATTTCTTTAGAGCTTAGAGTGCAAGCACATCTGAGCTACTTTGGCACTCACAGTTACAGGACAGGAGGGAGGGAGGGCTGCTTAAATACAACATAGGGCCCGTAGGGAGATGAAGGGAGGAACAAGTCAGTGCAGGTTCAGCATCCCTAATCCAGAACCTGAAACATTTTGAGCATCAATGTGATGCTCAAAGGAAATGCTCATTGGAGCATTTCAGATTTCAGATTTTCAGATTAGGGATGCTGAACTATTAAGTATCATGAAATACAGTTTTATGTGTAGTTTTATGTTTCTTCCTGGATAATAATTTAGGAGGGAGCCCTGAGAAACAGGATATTCCAAAATCTGAAAAAATCCAAAATCCTTCTAGTCCCAGAATTTTGGATAAGGGATACTCAACCTGTAATCTCAGTCTGGCTTCCAAAGCATAAAAGCATAGCAGCATCCAGATATGCAAATAAACTTATGGCCAACCCAAAGGTCTAGTTTCTGGTTTGACTTTGTGGAAGAAAGGATTTCCTGTTTCACAGAATCCTTTTGTTCCTTGCCCTTTATCCCCCCGAGAGAGACAGCCACTTAGCATAAATCATGAAAGGGTGTTCTGGGGACTATCAGAACCCTCAAGAGAAAGGTTTGTTGGTCTGGTTTATGCTACATTTAGAAGGCGGCCCAGGACTGTTCCTACAGCCTAGACTGGAACCAGGGCTCAGGGTAGGGGTGACTCAAGAGAGAGAGAGATCAAAAAGCAACTGACTGGGAAAGTCAAGAAACATTTTTGCCACTCCTGGAATCCATGAATGTTGAAGATTGACTCAGCAGGCTGTTTTCTTTCTGGTGATGGACGTTTCCTTCGAGATGCAGCAGGGTTACAATTCCATACTGTAATGCGTTAGATAATGAGCCTTCAACTGGGTCTAAAATTAGGACTTTGACATACAAGAAAAATGTCTTCAGGCTTCAGGTTTTCTTTATCTGGTTTCTTTTGGATACTTTTAGCTCTTCTGTCTATCCTCCAGAAAAGACCAAGCTGATCCACTCACTGTCAGCACAAAGAATGCTGAAAGGGTCACTGAAGACAAATTGTGCTGGTTTGGGAATAAGACAAAAGAAGCCAAACTCCTCTTTCCACAACTATGTACTAGCCTAGAAGTACCCTGGCCACTTTAGTAATTTGTTTTACCTCATTTGACATTGACCTATGATATGATCGACATGACTCACCGGTGCCTAGAGAGGCTCTAACTAACTTGTTTTTCCTGGCTCTGTGCCCTTCCCAGAGCACATCACCACCCCACACCCCAAATTCACTCCTTCTTCTTATAGCTTCTTACAGCTGGCTTGTGGGAAATGGGACTGGTCTGGGGTTCTCAAGGGTGGGCGCTACCTCTCTGGTAGTGTTCTGGAAAGTGGCTATTATTTCAGAACTGAGAGCACTGCAATGAGCAGACACTGCATGGACTGTTCTTCTGAAGATTAAATTCCACAGATCTGGACATTGCCCAAGAAGGCCCTTCATTTAGCATGGCTTGTATGCTCAGGTTCCAGGCTTCTTATTTCCTACCTGGAGAACTCTTGCTCTTCACTGATCCTTAATTCTTGGTGTACCAATTTGTGTTTCAGCTGTGCCAAAATGAAGGATCAGGATTATCTTCTAAACAAAAAGAATGACCTCCTTCTCTTGCATCTAGGCCCTAAGGCATTTCCCTGCTCACTAATGGGATTAAAAGTATTTTCATATGTTTATTAGCCATGGTGAATTTTTCATTCTTATCTGTCCACTTTTATTGCGTTGCTTTTTCTTAACAGTTTATAAGAACCATCATATATTGGAACTTGGAACTTTTTATTAAATGTAATGTAATTACTTGTTTAAACTGAATTTTTTTAGTGACATCTTTGTCAGTTACTAAGCTACTGTCTCTCAGCTTCCCACCCACCCTTCCATATTCCGCTCTGGGATGCTGGAACTGAAACTGCAAAACTACAGTCCTTCTTAGCCAACTGGCCTTCTGAGAGGTCCCGCCAACAAGGGGCGCTAGAGAGAGACTAGAGGCCAGGAGGAGGGTAGAAGGAGTTGCTCCTTCCTGTTTTGCTTAATGCTCCATCCACTCAGTGTTGTTCCAGCATTGGCTTCTTACCATGAAGGCAGCACTTGGTTCCAGTTTCCACCATCTTACAGAAGTCCCAGAATGATCCTCATTCCAATCCTTGGTGGTAACAGCCAGGTTGTATCTGTGGTAGGCAGAATAATGGTTCTCTAAAGACATCCACATTCTCATTCCTAGAACCTGCTGAGAATGTTATCTTAAATTGCAAAAGGAACCCTGTAGATGTGATTACGATGAGGACTTTGAGATGGGGATTATTCTAGGTAATCTGGCTAGGCTATGTCATCATAAGGGTCCTTACAAGTGCAAGAGGAGGACAGAAGGGGCAGTGTCAGGGTGATGTGATGTGTGAAGGACTCAACCAGCCATTAAAGAGGAAAGAAGGAACCATAAGCCCTTCTTATTCCATAAGAATATGGGCAGTCTCTAGAAGCTGGAAAAGGCAAGAAAATGGATTATCTCCAAGGGCCTCCAGAAAGAAACAGTCCTGCTGGCACCTTGATTTTGCCCGGTGAGTTCAGCCAAGAATGGCTGCTGAGGAGCTGAAGAGCATGGCCCCGTGGCAGTCAGTTCTAGTATGATTCTGCCATTAACTAGCTGGATTTGGAGACAATGTGGCCCCACCCTGGGCCTCAGTTTTCTCACTCACTGTGTGCTGGGCACTGTTATCTCACAAAGCAAAATGGGTAGTAATATTTCTCATCCCGATGGCTTTAAAGAGGGAAATGGAATAATTAGATTTGTGCTTCAGAAAGATCACTTGGGCTGCAGTGTAAAAATGGTTGGCTCTTTCTTCTTATCCATGTTTGTCCAAAATCTTACTCAGCTTTCAAGGCTTGGTTCACAATTTCCCTCTTCCACAAGTCCCCTCCCCACCCTGCCTGACCTCTTAGTTGGAGTCATTCTCTACCTGGTGCTCCCCATAAAACAGAGAACTACATATACTGTAAACCCCTTGAAACTGGGTATCACATGTTTCATCCACATGTGCTCCACAGGGATAGGTCCTTGCCAGGACTGATAAATGTGTGCAGAATTATCCTCTGCACTGAAAAACCATTTTCGTGGAACAGAAGAAGAAATAATTGAGCCACTCAATACTTGTTGGGAACTCAAGTCTTCTTTTGATAAGGTAGTTTATCTGCAAGCCTCAAGGGGTGTACAATTAAGCACTGCAGGACGTATTTCCCCTAGCTCTGAAAGGTTCTGATCTGCCTGGAGTGCTGATGTTGAAAAGGACTGTCGAGGAAACAGACCCTGAGGCCAGCTTGGTTTATTGTCACTAGGCTTTAATCATATCATGCAACAGGGGACCTAAGAGGGTTCTTTTCACCTTGCACAATACAATGTGAGCTTTGCTGAGCTGCACTATTGATAAATGGGAATGAGCAATAGTGACCTGCTTTTTCTTTTGAGACTTTTGCCCATTAAATATATTCTTCCTTAGATCCAAGCAATTAGGAATTATGGAAATAAAAAGCTTTTGTTGAATACCTGTTCTACAGTTTGAAGAGCAGTTCTCCTGTTTTATAATATAGAATAACTTGAAGAAAAAACCCTAAATATCTATTAGCTAAGAAAAGACAGGAAAATTTTTGTGACTTCTATAGAGTCAGTAACCAAGAACAGTAGAACTAAGAAATCCATGATTTCCCAAATAAGTTTTCTTTTTGAGATAGGGTCTCACTTTGTCACCCAGGCTTGAGTGCAGTGTCAGGAACACAGCTCACCACAGCCTTGACCTCCTGGGCTCAAGTGATCCTCCTGTCTCAGCTTCCAAAGTAGCCGAGACCACAGCTTACAGGTGCACACCACCACACCTGGCTAATTTAAAAATTTGTTTTGGTAGAGATGTGCGGGGTTGCCATGTGGCCCAGGCTGGTCTCAAACTCCTGGGTTCAAGCAATCCTCTTGCCTTGGCCTCCCAAAGTGCCGGGATTACAGACCTGAGCCACCATGCCTGGTCCCAAATAATTTTAAAAATAATTTCACTGGGGATTAAAATATTGTGGGATTAATTTTTATTACTTTATTATTATTCTACCACACTGCCTCTGATAGTGTGGTGGGGACTGAAAAGAAACATGAGAGGACTTTCTGTAGTGATAGTCATACTTTACAATTGGATGCAAGGGCTGGGTACGGTGGCTCACACCTGTAATCCCAGCACTTTGGGAGGATGAGGGCGGATCACCTGAAGGCAGGAGTTTGAGACCAGCCAGGCCAACATGGTGAAACCCCATCTGTACTAAAAATACAAAAATTAGCTGGGCATGATGGCAGGTGCCTGTAATCACAGCTACTCAGGAGGCTGAGGCAGGAGAATAACTTGAAACCAGGAGGTGGAGGTCGCAGTGAGCTAAGATTGCGCCACTGCACGCCAGCCTGGGCAACAGAGCAAGACCGTTTCAAAAAAAAAAACATTGGGGGCCGGGCGCGGTGGCTCAAGCCTGTAATCCCAGCACTTTGGGAGGCCGAGGCAGGTGGATCACGAGGTCAAGAGATCGAGACCATCCTGGTCAACATGGTGAAACCCCATCTCTACTAAAAATACAAAAAATTAGCTGGGCATGGTGGCACGTGCTTGTAATCTCAGCTACTCAGGAGGCTGAGGCAGGAGAATTGCCTGAACCCGGGAGGCGGAGGTTGCGGTGAGCCGAGATCGCGCCATTGCACTCCAGCCTGGGTAAGGAGAGCGAAACTCCGTCTCGGAAAAAAAAAAAAAAAAACATTGGATGCAGGATACATACGTGAATACATTTGTCAAGACAAAGACTAATTCCAGCAAATTATGGTGATGTTATATGTAAGAGAGTAAAGAGTGATGGAGGTTACCTTGAAATGGAGCTCAGCTCACATGTTCTGTAGCTTTCACTACTGGCCTGTTTATGGCCTCCATTGCAGAGGGCAGGCTGAGAAGAAAAGATATCCTGCTCTCCAAAGCTGTTGAACCTGGAAAATACAGGGCAGGCAGGTGTAGAACTGTGGAAAATGAGAAAGGTACTAGGAAGCAGTATAATAAATAGTAGCTAACATAAACCCCATTCTACATGCGAGTATTTTATTTCCTTTCTAGAAAAATGCCGCCCCCAGGGGGGCAGATCAGAGCAGCAGTTCCCATTATGTGGTGAGAAGGGACCCTACAGGCTCTGAGACTCTTTCAGAGGGTCAAGAGAGCTAAACTATTTTCATAATAATAGGCTAGGCACAGTGGCTCATGCCTGTAATCCCAGCTCTTTGGGAGACTGAGGTGGGTGGATCACTTGAGGTCAGGAGTTTCAGACCAGCCTGGCCAACATGGTGAAACCCCATCTCTATTAAAAATATAAAAATTAGCTGGGTATGGTGGCATGCAGCTGTAGTCCCAGCTACTAGGGAGGCTCAGGCGGGAGAATAGCTTGAACCTGGAGGCAGAGGTTGCAGTAAGCCAAGACTGCACCACTGCACTTCAGCCTGGGCAACAGAAAGACTCCATCTCAAAAATAATAATAATAATAAGCAGTTATTTGTCTTTTTACTTGCTCTCTCTTTCAAATGTACAGTGGAGTTTCCAAACACTGAATGACATATGAGAGCTTAAAAAATTAAATGTAGGAGTTGGTTTAAGAATCCAGCTGTCTTAAGAGATTCTACTCATGAACCCAACTAAAAGAACAAAAAAAAAGGAGAAAAAAAAAAAAGTATCCGTCTTTTGAGCCAGATATTAAAGAAATTTGCAAAGATGTAAAACAATGCCACTTTTTCCATTATTTTTTTTGTTTTAGACAATATAGTTGTTTTTCATTAAAATATTATGTTAATGTAAAATGAATTTATTATTATTTCTAAATGAGTTAAGAAATATTTTAAAGTTTCTCCATTTTGGTCTGGGTGCAGTGGCTCATGCCTGTAATCCCAGCACTTTGGAGGCCAAGGCAGGTGGATCATTTGAGGTCAGGAGTTTGAGAACAGCCTGGTCAACATGCGAAACCCCAACTCTACTAAAAATACAAAAATCAGCCTGGTGTAGTGGCACATGCCTGTAATCCCAGCTACCTGGGAGGCTGAGGCAGGAGAATTGTTTAAGCCCAGGAGGCAAAGGTTGCAGTAAACTGAGATTGCGCCATTGTACTCCAGCCTGGGTGAAAGAGCAAGACTCTATCTCAAAAAATATTTACAAAATAAAATAAAAATAAAGTTTTTCCATTTCAGTTTATAATATGGTTTTGTTTTTGTCTTTTTCAGAAACAGGGTCTTACTCTGTCACTCAAGCTAGAGTGCAGTGGTGTGATCATAGCTCACTGCAATCTTAAACCTCTGGGCTCAAGTGATTCTCCTGCCTCAGCCTCCTGAATAGCTGGGACTATAGGCACACACCATTGTGCCTGGCTAATTTTTACATTTTTTGCAGAGATGGGCTTTCACTATGTTGATAGACTGGTCTTGAATTCCTGGGCTCAAGTGATCCTCCTGCTTTGGTCCCCAAAGTGATGGAATTAGAGGTAAGAGCCACTGTGCTTAGCTAATATGATAAAATTTGATAGCTGTTAATAAACACAGGATCCTTAGGGGCCATAGTAATTTTTTTTTATTAAAAGTGTTTTAAAAGTGAGGTATAATTTACATACAGTAAAATGAAAAAGTCTTAAATGTACAATTCAATTAATTTTTACGTATGTATATACTACAAAACCTTCACCCAGTTCAAGATATAGACCATTTCCTTCATCCTGGAAGGACCCCTTGTGCCTTATTGAATCAATACCTAGTCCACCAGAGGTAACCATTATTC